CTGCATCACACTGTAGATGTGTGTTTAGTGTGGGGTCTACTAAGACCCCTAGAGATGGGGCTCTCTGAAAAAAAGAGAGAATAAGAATTGCTGCTCCAATAGGTTTCCAGGTCCAACACTTTGCCTTTTAGATAGGTTGCAAGGCCCTCGTGTACTTTTTAACATCAAGAAATACCTATTTTTCTTAGAGACAGTGAGAGGGAAAGAAAAAAGGGCAGAATGGGGCTTGGATTCTGGTTGCTTGGGGGACCCCCTTCTGACCCACGGACCCCTCAAAATTGCCATGGGCTACCCATGCACCTGCAAATATGGAAGCCTCCATTTAAATTTCTGCTGGACTACGACTCTGGGGACCAGGGTTCAAGTCCCTGCTCAGCTTGGGCGAGTCACACTCTCTCAGCCTCAGGAAGAGGCAATGGCAAAAACCCCTCTGAACAAATGTGAGTTACAGCAATCCAATTTCCAATTTAGTTGGGCATGTTAAGGAGGACTTAATAAAACAATCCAACAGGTGAAGCACCATACAAGCCACATTTCTTAGTAACCATTACTGTATTATTTTTGGTAAAGTGAGCATGAGATATATATTTTAAAAAGCTTTATCTGAAAACTACCGTATATTAGATATATTGAATATAGAGTATATAAGTAAATAATAGGTGAATATATAGGGTTACATGTTTTTCAACCCTACCTATGGGTTCTTAACTCTTTTTATGCGCCTTTTAATTATCCTTTATGTGTTTGAGTCAAATTAATTTTTCTCAAAAAAGTAGACAGGAAGTAGGCTTGTGGGTTTTAAAATCAGGATGTAAACAGGAAGTTGGCTTGTGGGCTTTTAAACCAGACAATATACCAGAATATGAGCTGCTGACTTTTAAACCAAAAAGCAAACAGGAAGATAAATTGCTATCTTTTAAACAGGAAGTAGATAGGAAGTAGGCTTGTGGGTTTTTTTTTAAATCAGGAAGTATACAGGAAATTGGCTTGTGGAGTTTTAAACCAAGAAGCAAATAGGAAGTTGGCTTCTGGTTTGTTTGTTTTTAAATCAGGAAGTTGGCTTGTGGAGTTTTAAACCAGAAAATATACTGGTAAATGTGTTGCTGATTTTTAAATCAGGAAGCAAACAGGAAATTGGCATGTGAACTTTTAAATCAGGAAGTTAACAGGAAGATGAGTTACTGACTTTTAAACCAAGAAGCAAACAGGAAGTTGGCTTGTGGACTTTTAAATCAGAAAATATACCAGGAAATGAGTTGTTGATCTTTAAATCAGGAAATAATTTGATGTATTTTTAATTGTTGTAAGCCTCCCTGATGATGATGATCATGATGATGATGATAATGATGATGATGATTAAACAGGAAGTTGGCTTGTGGACTTTTAAACCAAGATGTATACAGGAAGTTGGCTTGTGGAGTTTGAAACAAGAAATGATACCGTAAAATATATTGCTGACTTTTAAACCAAAAAGAAAACAGGATGTTGGCTTCTGGACTTTTAAACCAGAAAGTAGACAGGAAGATACATTGTTGTCTTTTAAACAGGAAGTAGGCTTGTGGGTTTTAAAATCAGGAAGTCAACAGGAAGTAGGCTTGTGGATTTTCAAACCAGGAAGTAAACAGGAGGATGAGTTATTGACATTTAAACCAGGCCTTAGACAGGAAGCTAGTTTGTGAACTTTTAAATAAGGCGTTCCATTAGCAAAAGAAAAAGAGACGCTTCTCTTGAGATCCAGGTTGCCTCCATCTTTCATTAGAGAGTATTTGTTGTGTGCCTTCAAATTGTTGCTGACTTATTTCAACTCTAAGGGTTTTCTTGGCAGGTTTCTTCAGAGGGGGTTTGCCATTGACATCCTCTGAGGCTGAGACAGTGTGACTTGCCCATGATCACCCCGTGGGTTTCCATGGCCGAGGTGGGATTCGAACCCTGGTCTCCCAGTGTCCTAGTCCAATGCTCAACTGTTACACCATGCTGGCCTTTTGTTAGGTAGAGAGCATTGGATTTCTAGGGAAGCCCACCATGTTTTTGCGAAAGGAAACATTTTTTAGGTGCCGTTTTGGTCAAACGTGCCAAATGTTGTCCAGATTTTAAAGAAAAATAAATAAATAAATAAATAGAAACCTCAAACGGTCAAGTCCCAGTCCCTTGGCCCTCTCTGTAGGTTTCCGCGGTGTGGCTAAAATGTGGCATCTTACATCCAGAAAACATATCCAGGGGTAGCAGTGTTGACCAGAGCCAGCATGGCATAGTGGTTAGAGCATTGGACTACCACTCTGGAGACTAGGGTTCAGTTCCCCATTTGGCCATGAAACCCACTAGGTAGCTCTGGGCAAGTCACACTCTCTCAGCCTCAGGGGAAGGCAATGGCAACCC